TTAGGGACGTAAAGTGAGGATAACGGGAATGGGTAATCGAGTTTGTTTGGTGTGATAAAGTTAATAAACTTATTTATTGTGGGTTGAAAACCATATGTGCTCACCAGGCTCCCAAGCCTGACCCACTCAGTTTCTTGTATTACAGGTAGTGGCGCATGAGCATAGATGTGATGTCTTGGGATGAGAGATTTATGGATTTTAGGCCTGTAAATACGGAATAATGTAGTAAGGCCTATGATGTATTGTTTATGCTTATGATCTGTATCGAACATGACATCCCGAGTCTTTTTAATGAAATACATTTCTACGGAAATGCTTTTGAAATATCCTTATCATATTTTGTTTTGGGACAAATTCCGCACACTTTATTTAAATTGTTACTCTGATTTTTAAGCAAAGCATAAACAAAATCGGTATTTTCTAGCCGTGAAAATAGGGATGTCACATTTTTAATAAACAAACTAATCAAAGTATGTTGCTATTAACATAACTACAAAGGTTATTAATAGCAGCATATTTTTATTAGTTTCTTTATTAAAGCATTCTATTTTTATTTTTTTGTTTATATTTAAAATAGAAAACAAACTAATAAAAGTACGTTGTTATTAAAAGTATGATGCTATAATAGAAAAAACAAAATAATATTTAATTACATTGCTATAATTGAAAAAAAAAACAAAAATAAGATGTTATAAGTACTATATATGTGAAAAATAAATGAAAATAGAATGCTTTAATAAAGAAACTAATAAAAGTATGATGCTATTAAAGAAAACCTAACTACAAAGGTTATTAATTACAATATACTTTTATTAGTTTGTTTATTAAAGCATTATATAATTAACAAACACGTTGAATCATTGATTTTTAGTTTAAGCCTCTTCTTTATAATCATCAAGAGCCTAGAAATACCCGCCCGAAATAGATTTAGAAATTAACATCGGGTTGTCCTCGTTTTGGGACTACATTTTGAATACTTTATCTCATTTAGGATGTAAATGTGTATTGTAGGATTATTTGTTTAAGAAAAAATTGGGTTTTCATTTCCTTTTTTCTCATCGGGTATATGTTTCTTTATATACTTGGGAGCTAAGGGGAAATGTTGCTAATTTTTTCTCAAACAAAGAGCCATGCACTACACATTCACATATGAGATAAGGTATTCAAAAAATGGGTTTAGAAGCCTACACTTGTGAATATTATATCTGCTATGTCCGATGTTTACTTCTCAGGTGTGTATTTCTTTATATACTTGTAAATACTCTATCCATTCCGTCCAACTTTTTTCTCACACAAACAGTCATGCAATACATATTCACATATAGCCAAAATACAATTAACTTTCAATAACTATGTGTACAATGTAATTTTTAATAATGAAACAGTAACAACGATCGATAATAATTGGATTTGTGAGAACTGAACGTCTCCAAAATTCTTAGAATGTCTTAAAAACTTTATCGAGATTGATGGGAAACATGTCGACTCTTAACACAAAGTGTGTTGCCCGTGTGTAAAGTGTGTGAATATGTATCGAAAGTTGTTGAGTACGGTTTATGCCTACATAAAGGATTATGGGTTTCTAAAATCGTATACTACATAGCATTATCATGGTGAGAAACTTCATACGTTAGATTTTTGCTACAATTCGACTCTAAGAAAAAACTTCATACGTCGAGTGCATATTCTGACTCGTCGAGTTCCTTCATGTCTTAGAAAATCGCAAAAAGCTCGAGGCAACTCGTCGAGTTCTTTAGCATCCAAAAAGTGGGAAAACCCGAACCAACTCGTCGAATTGGCAGAGCAACTCGTCGAGTTTTCCTTGCCTTAATGAATTCAGACACTTCCAAGCAAAACCAAAGCCCCAAACTATAGATCTGGTCCCTTAGGACTGAAATACCACGTAAAGTTGCTAGCTATATGGCCATGCATGGCATCAAGAGGGCTAAAACACTCAAATAAGGCTTATCAAGGGATCTAGGGCATGAAGGAGGGCCAAAACTTGATAAAGTTGGCAACTTTAAGTCCATGGAGACCACAGGATGTCCAGATCTGAAACCATGGCTTCATAACATGCTCAAATCCAAGAATACTCCCAAAATAAGTTAATAATGGCCATAACTTTTAAAAGAAGAGATCTAGAAAAAAGGATGATCAAGATAACGAATTTATACCCCCAAGTGGCTGCAACAACACTGCAAATCTCGGATCTATAGCTTCTCCCTTCACTTTGCACCACCAATTTCAAGCTCCTTCACGAAAAGCACCAAAGAATACTCTTTAAGCTCTCAAACACTCAAAATGGGAAAAAAGGCACGATTTGGGTTTTCTCTGGACTGAGGGGACGATGAGGGGGGCTAACAATGAGAGTTAAGGCCTTTAAATAAGGTGCAAACCCTAAAAAATAGGGTTTTCATGTTCAGCCTTCAACTTGTCAAGTTGGGGCCTTCCAACTCGTTGAGTAGACATTGAAAGATACGCGGGCATTAAATACTCTACACGGCGAGTTAGAGCCTTCCAACTCGTCGAGTTTCCCTGAAAAATATAAATATAAAGCTTTAAATTCATACCTGAAGATTGGGATGTTACAATGCATATACAGTCTTCAGCATGACTGGACCGCCTCACCGGGCCTCCAGTCTATCTGGCCCACTCTCAGAACATTCAACATGTCTGGACCACCTCACCGGGACTTCAGCCTATTTGGATCGTTCTCCGGGACTTCGACCTGACTGGTACACCCCAATGGGCCTTCAGTCTATCTGGGCCGCCGTGAGTCTGTTGGCCTAGAGCACAAAGCAGGACCACCTCAACCCACCCGCAATCACACAATCATCACATAGATATTAAACGCTAGCTAGCACATACAATAATCATACAGGTCTAACAGATCATCAATCATAGCATCATCCTATACACTAGGATACAAATCTAACATATCACTACACATAGCATCATACGATAACCAGGACAACAATCCAAAAGGGTCGCCCTTGGTGCCTTTAACCCTGTTAGTATAGTGAGGAAAACTCACCTCACAAGTAGCATTGACTGACAAGATCCAATTCTCAAATCACAGCTCCAAACAAAACCGCCTACAACCACCATGTGACTAGCTCCATCAAAATCTTGAATTCCCAAAAATACCCTTAAAGTCAAACTTGGTCAATTATGGTCAAATTCAAAGTCAACGGTCAAGGTCAAAAGTCCATGCTGACCCAACTCGTCGAGTGCATCTACTGACTCGTCGAGTTCCTTTCAGAATTCAGAAAACCACGAAAACCCGAGTCAACTCGCCGAGTCGTCAAGACAACTCGTCGAGTTCATATAGTGTCCAGAAGATTAAGGAAAACCTGGGCCAACTCGCCAAGTTGGCAGAGCAACTCCTTGAGTTTCCCTTGTCTTAACTCATTCAACCATCTCCCAAGTGAGTCTAATGATCCAAACTATAGATCTGGTCCCCTATGACTGAGATACCACGTAAAGTTGCTAACTTTACGTCTATGCATGACATCAAAGGGGCTAAAACACTAAATCATAGCTTAATAAGAGGCTTAGGGCATGAAGGAGGGCCAATACTTGATAAAGCTTGGAACTTTAGGCTCAACGAGTCACAAAATATCCAGATCTGAAGTGGAAACTTCAAACAATGCATCATTCCAGGAATGACTCCAATATGGACCAAGAATAACAATATCTTTCCATAAAAGTATATCGAAGCAATAAGAGGCCAAGGTATCGACTTTATACCTCAAAATGGTTGCCACAACAGAGTAAACACTGGATCTACAACCTCTCCCTTCAGCCAACTTTTTCAAGCTTCTTGTTCCTTCCAAAAGAGCACCAAAAATCACTATCCAAGCTCTTACACACACAATGAGGGCAAAAACACGAACTAGGGTTTTCTTTGGATAAGGAGGCGATGAGGGAGGCCAACAATGAGAGTTAAGGCCTTTAAATAAGGTGCAAACCCTAAAAATTAGGGTTTTCATGTTTAGCCTTCAACTCGTCGAGTTGGAGCCTTCTAACTCGTCGAGTAGACATTGAAAGATACGTGTGCATTAAATACTCTACACAACAAATTGGAGCCTTCCAACTCGCCGAGTTGCCCTGAAAATATAAATAATAAGCTTTAAATTCATACCTGAAGATTGGGATGTTACAATTTTCATATATTAAATTGATTATTTATAAGGCTGAACGGAGTCGTGCAACACCTACTGACTCCACATCATGAAAAATTGGGGGGGGGGGGGGGTAGAAGTTCGGAAGAAGAAGAGAGGGAGAATAGAGGGGTTGTCTGCCGAATGGGAAAGAAGGAAGGAGGAAGAATGGAGAAAGAAGAAAGAGACTCAACACATTTCTACCAAGTTTGGGCTCCGAGCTTGGCATGCCAAGTTCTCGACCTAGTATTTACCGAGTCCACATCAGATCTGTCGAGGGTCGCCGAGTCCCACTCCGCCCAGCCTAAAGCTATAGAAATAGGGTTGTAAACGAACCGAATGTTCGACAAACTGTTCAACGGGAAGTTCGTTTATTTAATAAATGAACAAACATGAACACAAATTTCTGTCTGTTTAGTTAAACGAACGAACATGAACAATGGTGTCGTTCGTTCAATTATGTTCGTGAATGTTCCTTTACGTTCGTTTATGTTCGTTCATATAAGTTCCTTTTATGTTCATATATGTTTAATTATGTTTGATTATATTACTATATTATATGTCCATTGATGTTTATATATGTTCAATAATGTTTGTTTATCTTTGTTCATTTACGTTTGTTCGTTTTTATATTCCGTTAGCATGTTCACGAATATATACGAACGAACATGAACAATGTAATTTGTTAAATGGACGAACAAGAAAACTCATTCTTTTATCCGTTTGTGTTCGTTTATTTGTTCAACTAACTTAAATGAATGAACATGAACTAGCCCCGACTCGTGTTTATTTGATTTGTTTACCGTATAGAAACACTTTCATAGTCCCGACCCGACCCGGAGCACATGAGGAACACCGGAAGTCTCAAACGGTCAAACATTCAAACTATCTCGTCCGCATCCTTCTCTGAAACTGCATTCTGCAGCTCCTCCGCTCGTCCCGGCCGGCCGCCACTTGCTGCAGTCGTATTTTCGTCTCTACATCCCATCACATAGAAGTCTCTTTTTCTGTCTGGCTTCCTCGCATCCTCACTATCGCACACTCGTATCGCACAGTGCGTTGCCCTAAGCGGATCCTGAATGGCAAGTGTCGAACTTTTGCTTCCAAAATTTCTTACTACTATTGACTAAATTTTCATTTATTATCACCAATTTACATAATCACCATAGTCTAAAGAGGAAGAGAAAGAGAATTAGGTTCTTCAAACTTTGAAACCCTAATAAAATTGCTGTAATTTCAGCTTACTTATTACTGTTAACTTAAGCGTTTTCTTATTGCTCGAAGGGTTTGATATCGTAAATTGTATAATTTGCATGTGTTCTTAATTGTCTTTGAAATTCGGAGCATTTTGTGCTCTTTAAATGACGGTTTACTAAGTGCATTATGCTCGTCATTTGTTTTTTAACTCTTATGATAGAACCTTGTATCAATAATCATTGAGCTGTAGGCATCAAATTAGCAATTGTGTATAGGTATTCCACCCATCTGTCATTATGTATGAAGCTGTATAAGCTTATGTTTATCAAGCGTGTTCTATTTCTTGTGGGATAATGATTATGTATCTCACATCTTATTTCATCTCAATTTTAATTTTAGGCTGAAGAAATGGACAGTCAAGAAGACTCTGTTTTCACACAGTTAACGGAAGATGTTGCTGCCAACCCGGATGATCCTTCCCTCCATTTTAATCTTGTAACAAAATCTTTAACCTCTTCACTGAATATAACTTAAAATTCTAGGTTTCATTTCAATAGGTTTTGTAATGAATTCAGGGTTTGTTCTTGTGGGAGGGGATTGGGTCAGAATCTAAGGAAAAGGCAGCAGAGCATTTTGTGATTGCAGCAAAGCTAAACCCACAAGATGCAAATGCTTTTAGGTATTTGGGTCATTATTATAGCAAAGTTTCAGTTGATACTCAGAGAGCTCTCAAGTGTTATCAGAGAGCTCTCACTCTTGATCCTCAAGATTCTGAATCTGGGGTTAGTCTTATTCTTAATTTCTCACCTATCTTTATACATTCGTTTGATTTCCTTTTTTGTTTATTTATGTTTTCCTGTTGCAAGATTTTTCCAACCAATTCAAGTTTATTGATTTTGGACCTAATTGTTCATAAAGATTCCACTAAGTTTTATTTCAAAACTCAAAAGTGCAAAAGTTTATACACATATAGATGGTAAGGAATTCTATATCGTGTCCCATTGTACTTTGTTTGCAGGAATCAATGTGTGATTTGTTGGACAAAGAAGGAAAAGAGAGCTTGGAGGTTGCTGTCTGCCGTGAAGCTGCAGGGAAGTCGCCAAGGGCATTTTGGGCATTTCGTAGACTAGGTTTTCTACAGGTGTTTCATCATCTTCTTTGCTTATCTTTTTTTCCATTTATGGCTTAAAATTTGGGCTCCAACTCCCGCATGTTTTCCATTGACATTTAGGTATTTGTTGCAGGTCCATCAGAAGAAATGGTCTGAGGCAGTTCATAATCTTCAGCAGGCCATTAGAGGGTATCCTACATCTGCAGATTTATGGGAAGTATGTACTCTCTTCTCATAATTGTCTATTATACCCTTCTCTTGTTGGTATTACTCAAGATTGCTCCCTCATTTTTGTCTTTACTTTAGGCTTTAGGTCTTGCATATCAGCGATTGAGCATGTTCACAGCAGCTATTAAGGTACTTTTCCCCCTACAAATGTTCATTTCTCCCTCATTTGTCCACTTACATACATTTGACTTCTTTTTTCATTGCATAGTCATATGGTCGAGCTATTGAGTTGGAGGAGTCACGAGTTTTTGCAATGGTTGAGAGTGGATATGTCTTCTTGATGCTTGGTTCACATCGAAAGGTAATATTTTGCCACATGTAGTTGCAACTAACTAACATTCCTTGTGTGATTCTGCTATTAGTTCACTTAATTTTAGTTTGCTTCTCACTTACTCCCTTATACCTATAATCTTACTTCATTGATCATGGTCATAACTTATAACAATACATCTAATGTATATTTCACTAACTAGCTCTATGGGTGAAGGGGAGTTGAGCAGTTTCAGCAAGCTTTACAGATATCACCTGAAAATGTAGCTGCACACTATGGACTTGGGTGTGGGCTTCTTGAGTTATCAAAGGAATGTATAAGTTCAGGTGCATTTAGATGGGGAGCTTCAATATTAGAGGTAAATTAATTCCAATAATTGTGTCAAGTTTAATACAAAACATCTAAAAAAAATCCTTATAAAATTTTAGGAGGCATCAAAAGTTGTTAAAACTGGTACTTTCTTGGCAAAAAATGTTTCATGCATGTGGAAGTTGCATGGTGATATTCAGGTATGCCCATATATATTATTTTTTATCTCGTTATGAAAGTTCTGTTATGTATGGTGAACTTGGTATATGACACTTTTGCCCTTGATAGCTTACATATGCGAATTGCATCCCATGGATTGATGAAGACCATGTGTTAGAAACAGAGAAAGCTTTGACTGATTCCATTCTTTCATGGAAAAACGCGTGTTCTTCAGCTGCACTGAGTGCCAGGCGTTCATATCAACATGCTCTACATTTGGCTCCATGGCAAGCTAACATCTACACAGATATTGCCATCACTATAGATGTCATAAACTATTTTAAGGAGGAAAAGAAACATGATCCTATCCAAAAGTAAGTACTTTCACTTGAGATCTTGTAACCCAATTAAATCTTGTTTAGGTACAAATTTTCTTTTCCTTTTCATGTGCAGGCAATTACCTGAGAAAATGATTTTAGGTGGTTTATTACTCGAGAGCTCCAATAATGAATTCTGGGTTGCATTAGGATGCTTATCACATCATGTTGAGTTAAAGCAACATGCTTTTATCAGATCATTGCAGTTAGATGTATCATTAGCTGTTGCATGGGCATATCTTGGGAAGGTAGACCTTACATTGAGTAAATCTCCTTATTATTTTTTTTTTATTGTCTATGAAGCTATGACTAAATGTTGACTTTCTACAGCTTTATAGAAAACAAGGCGACAAGAAATTGGCACAAAATGCATTTGATCGTGCAAGGAGTATTGATCCTTCACTTGCATTACCATGGGCTGGCATGTCAGCAGATATGTCCATTAGGCAAGTTCATCTCTTTTTTCAAAACCAATAATAGCAATGTACTTTTCACCTGTATTTAAATAGTTTCTTTTCTCAGGGCACTTAAGGCAGATGAAGCTTATGATTGCTGTTTAAGAGCTGTTCAAATACTACCTGTACTCTCTCTCTCTCTCTCTCTCTCTCTCTCTCTAGTTTTGTGAAGAAGTGTTCTGAAAACACCGTTTTTGTGCAGCTTCCAGAATTTCAGATGGGTCTTGCAAAGCTTGCTTTACATTCTGGTGAACTTTCATCTTCCGAGGTACTTGTTATATGCAAGAAAAGGGTGGTAGTCTTACAACGGGTCCCACATTCATAATTACACTTACATACCCTCATTTGTCACAGGTATTTGGACCCATAAGCCAGGCTTTGCATCATGCACCCCAGTATCCAGAATCTCACAATCTTCTAGGGCTTGTTTGTGAGGCAAGATGTGATTATCCATCTGCTATTACATCTTATAAGTTAGCACGTTATGCACTCAACACTTCTTCTTGTGACACCTCAAAACTCCTTGATATATCAATTAATTTGGCAAGGTCACTCTGTAAGGTAATTATTTAATTTCCTTTCTTATATATTATATATTTTCACAATACATTTAAAATTTTATGCCTTTATTTTACATTGATGCAGGATGGTAAAGCTTATGAGGCAGTGCAAGAATGCGAAGAACTAAAGAAAAAAGGTTTGAATCTTCATGCATCTTTTTTATTTGCCCACTTTTTTTTATATATATGTTAAGGAAAAACAACTGTTTTTAAAAATCAGGTGTTCTGGATTGGGAAGGTTTGCATATATATGCTTTATCTTCATGGATACTTGGGAAGAATGATCAGGCTTTGTCTGTGGTGAGGATTTTAGCTGCAGGTGTTAAATCATTGGAACCACAAAAGGCATCCACCTCCATAAGTTTTATATGCAGATTGCTTTACTATATTTCTGGTCAAGAGGCAGTGATGACAAGCATTTTAAAAATGCCAAAAGATTTGTTTAAGAGTTCAAAAGTTAGTTTTGTGGTATCTGCTATTCATGTTCTGGATCAAAGCAATCAGCTTGAGGCAGTTGTTTCAAGTAGCCGATCTTCCCTCATAAGTCATGATGAAATTACTGGAATGCATTTTTTGATAGTATTAAGTAAATTGGTATGTTTTCCTAACCCTCATTCTTTTTTTGATTTAGCATGCCAAACTTGAATATGTAATGGATTTATAATTTGTTTTTTGCAGGTGAAAAATGGTTCAGAGCATTGCTTGGGAATTCAGAGTGGAATTGATCACCTTAGAAAAATCCTCCATAAGTACCCCAACAGTTATTTTCTTAGGTAAATCATGATTGACATAATCTATGTTTTGAGTTATCCATCATTTGTAAACTTCTGATGATCAGTAATTTGATTAATTTCTATCTAATCTTGTGAGAATTTCTAACAAAAGTTTGTTGCTAACAGGAATGTTCTTGGTTATCTCTTAATATCTAGTAAAGAACAAAAAGATGCACACTTGTCTACCAGATGCTTTACTGTAAGAAGCAGCCAATCAGAGTGTCCAAAAGAAGAAGGTCTAAAATGCGCACCTGAAATCCTTGGTGCAAGTACAGTTGCTTGCTACACCAACAATAAACACACCTTTCCCACCTGTAAAGACCAATCTACCCCTCAACACGGATCACTCAAACTATTACAAAAGTACCACGCTTTCCATCTTTACCCTTTACAAAAATTTACTTCTAATCCATGTGTAAAAAGCTTGTACAACTCTGATTTTTACAGGTGGTGGCATCAAGAACCATGGAATAAAAATGCAAGATACCTTTTAATCCTCAACTACATTCAAAAAGCACGCGAAGAGAGATACCCTCAACATATAAACACAGGACTCGAAAAGTTAATTACTTTAGCTCTTTCAGACGAATCCCTATCCTGCCCCTATCAAAAGTTCCAGCTGTCACTCTGTGCATCTGAAATAAGTTTACAAAGTGGGGACCACGTTAACTGCATAAAACATGCTAAAAACGCTTCAAATCTTTCTATCCCGGATGACTATCTCTTCTTTGCACACTTGCAATTATGTCGGGCATATGCTGCAGAAAACAACCATGTCAGCTTACATGAAGAGTACACAAAATGTTTAAATTTGAGAACCGATTATCATATCGGATTAATCTGCCTCAAATACATCGAATGTCAATATGGTCTACTAGGAGATGAGAATATAAACATAATCGAATTGAGATTTGAAGAATGTTCAAAAGATATAAAATATTCATGGAATGTATGGACAGCTGTATGGAAAATGGTCCAGGGGTTGATTTCGGTGTCAAATCGCGATTTTGTTGCTGCAGAAGAGTTTTTTGCATATGCGTGTTCTTTAAACGGTTCTGAAAGCTGTTTGTTTTTGTGTCATGGTATTTATTTGTCATTACTAATTATGTAAATTTTTTGATGGGATTATACATTTATACATATGACACTGGTTTACAGGTGCTATTTGTATGGAACTTGCGAGACAACAATGCAACTCGGATTTCTTGCTGCTTGCTGTTGGGAGTTTGAAGAAAGCTAGAGACAATTGTTACACAAGTTTACCTATTTTGCAACTTTTATTAGGGCAAGCAGAAGCAAGTCTTGGATATAAAGGGCAATGGAGTCAATATCTTAAGTTTGAATGGTCATCTTGGCCTCCAGGTTTGAATTTTCGTTATTTACTGGTTACTGAACGGTGTGCAAAAGACGTAAATGCCCTTGTCATTCTGATTGTTGAAAATATGTGCAGAGATGAGGCCGGGGGAGATTTTTCTTCATATGCATTTGGTTTCAAAACAGTTGCAAGAAGGTGGCTACTCTGCATCGAGAACAATACATGGTAAAAATCCATTGAGATGGATTCTACAAGCGATACATTTGAATCCATCTTGTTCAAGATATTGGAAAGCTTTACAGAATTCGTAAATACCTTACTTTACTTATGTTGTCATGTTGGATTTTAGACAAGTGTGTTTGGTTAATGCATTTGTTCGAATGATTTACCACATGTAAAACCGAGTCTTTGGAATCTGAGTCTAGAGAAAACCGAGTCTTTCGAATAGGACACATTTACAATGTCTAAATCTTAAATCTTCTAACCCTAACATTTAATAAACTGTGTTGTTGGATAAAAGATTCCAACTCAATAAAAGTTAAACAAAAAGTTAAAAGAATTAAGTGTTTACAACCTAGAATGAGACTATACATTTACCCTTGTCAAAATTTGCAACTTAATCCATGCACTTAAAGCCTTCGCTTTTAAGCTCTCAAATAACATCTATTTAAAAAAAAAAATACTTCACTCATTCAACTTTAGAAAATAGGCTCTTGAACACGTATCTACTATAATAAATGAAGGTTTTTTTGCCACATGATTTCTTTTCATTCATTTGGATACATGATATTTTCTAAAATTTTTAAATTTTCTATTTTCCACTTGTCATTTTATTGTATTTTTCATTTTATTAAATTAAAATTTCACATTTAATATGTAAGGTAATATATATGTAAAGTATTTATTAGAAAAAGTAATGTATTCAATACATTAAAATCTCATTAATTTTAATAATTTAAAATTTTCTCATTTTTCTTATAAATACAAACTTTTCAAATTGTTAAAGTTTTATATATATATATATATATATATATATATATATATATAACTCATGTAATACATGGGTCTCACATCTAGTTATGTATAATAATTGATTTACAATTATTAGGGTGATTTAATGTTCTTTAAAAAGATTTAAATTATAATAGAACTAGGTTACAACTCCTGAAAACCACATGTAAGAAAGAAAAACATTCTTGATAATTTAAAATTGTAATGAATAATCATATATTTGTAAAGACATAAACCGTAATTTAACAAATTTTTTGTTATCGCAAAGAAAAAATATAATATGGAGCTTTGTTTTCTTCAAAACATAAACTTTCATTTAACGTTTATGATTAATTAATTATATAAATGTTTTATATATAAACATGATAACATTTCATTTAATCCTAATTTGTTATGTGATTTGATACATATACAACAAAAACGTTAAGAAAAACTTGCTTAACTACATCTTAAAATCAAAGTCATATCTTTTTGTAACATAAAGCATTTTATCAGGATTTTAAACTTAGATTTATTTTTTATATTATTTCTATATGTAAACATCTTATATCTAACTAATAAAAAATAATTATTACCAAGTTAGTAATAGTTTTTTCTATGGTAAGAATACAACATATTTGATATATATAGTTTTAAATTATTTGTTAGTTGGTTGCAGGTTAATCATATTTATAAACTTTATATACTATTTAATAATCATATACTTTTAACAAATTATAATCCAAATCATATAAGCTTTTATAATATTTCTATAAAACATCAAAATATCATAACATGAAATTCTATTACTCTTGCGTAATAATGTTGTTTATTATAAATAAAAAAATTATATAAGTAAAAGAAAGTAGATTAAAGTTAATGGATTGGCAAAATTTATGGTATTTTTGTTAACAAATTTGGTGGAGGTGTATGTATTGATAACATGGATTGTTTACAAATCTATTTAAAGGTCACCACATCAATCCCTTTATAATCGGCAATCAAAATCAAACCGAAATAAATGCTTTATGATAAAAGGGCATACAAACCGGAAATTAAAATAAGTCAAGGGTATGAAAGTAAATTTACATCGAAGGAAAAATGAATTCTAGAAAACCCATACAAATCTATTTAAATGATTTCGATAGAAGATTGGTTGTCTGCAAAATTGCAACTAACATTTCCTTTTTTAGAGTTTGGACTTGGACCTTTCTGATTTGCTTATAATTTATAAATGACCCAATCCTGATAAAAAGTCCAAAGGCTGTGCGTCGGCCCATTTCTCCTGAATTGTCCGCTATGCCTATTACTACTCACATTCGGTCACAGTGGTAGCCATTAGCAAACTTGGAAGAAATACTCATATTCAAGGAGAGCGTAGCCACCGGATCTTTCTCGATTGTTCCCATTCTCTTCGTCACCGTATTAATCCTTGTAGTTGCAGGTATTTGTTATGCAAACCTGTTCACTCGTTCAAAACTGGCCGGATTAACCACCGCGGTTGCAGGTGTTTCTCTTTTATACTTTTTTATTGTGATTTTGTTTTCGATTTCTGTATACAGTACTTCAGTGCATAGTTCGGTGTATGATTTACGTTAATAATTTGTTCCTTCTTAATTTTGATGTATTGTTTGTGTTATGAAAATTTCTGGGTTCGTGGCCTTCTCTAATTAGGGCCTGACTCGGATTTTGTTTTTTCGAATTGCTATGTTCACTAAGTAGGGACGGGTAGATAAATCTAGTCGTGCTATAAGTTGAGTCGTGAAACTAGGTTAGATTGTTTTCGTTTAATATTCTTACGCCTGATACAAATATACATTCAGTTTGAAATAAAGATCTAGAAGACGAAAGCTACAAACGTCGTTGTTAGAGCTTAATATGATGAGTGGAGATCTCTCTTTGTGTACTAAGCATATTAGGTCAATACTCCACAAGCTGAACTAAATTTGCCTCTAACGAGCTATCTTTTTCAGATTTTAGATGGAAACTGGAGGCAATTCCTTAGCATCTGGGCCAGATGGGGTGAAGAGAAAGGTGTACTACTTCTATGACCCAGAGGTCGGAAATTACTATTATGGACAAGGTCACCCAATGAAGCCACACAGAATTCGCATGACACATGCTCTGTTAGCCCACTATGGTTTACTTCAAAACATGCATGTTGTAAAGCCTGTTCCAGCTAGAGACAAAGATCTTTGCAGGTTTCATGCTGATGACTACGTTTCTTTTCTAAGAGGCATCACCCCAGAAACACAGCAAGATCAATTAAGACAACTAAAAAGGTTCAATGTTGGTGAAGATTGCCCTGTGTTTGATGGTCTATACTCCTTCTGTCAAACCTATGCAGGTGGCTCTGTTGGAGGAGCAGTGAAATTAAACCATGAGTACTGTGATATAGCTATAAACTGGGCAGGTGGACTTCATCATGCTAAAAAATGTGAAGCTTCTGGTTTTTGCTATGTCAATGACATTGTCTTATCAATTCTTGAACTTCTGAAAGTGCACCAACGTGTGCTGTATGTAGATATTGACATTCATCATGGTGATGGTGTAGAGGAAGCTTTTTACACTACTGATAGAGTCATGACTGTTTCTTTCCACAAATTTGGTGATTATTTCCCAGGGACAGGGGATATAAGAGATATTGGGTATTCAAAGGGAAAGTATTACTCGCTGAATGTCCCTCTTGATGATGGAATTGATGATGAAAGCTATCAGTCCTTGTTTAAGCCAATAATTGGTAAAGTAATGGAAGTGTTCAGACCTGGTGCTGTTGTGTTACAATGTGGTGCAGATTCTTTATCAGGAGATAGATTGGGTTGTTTTAATTTATCAATTAAAGGGCATGCTGAATGTGTGAAGTATATGAGATCTTTTAATGTGCCTTTATTGTTACTCGGTGGTGGAGGGTATACAATACGCAATGTTGCTAGATGCTGGTGCTATGAGGTATTCTTGTTTTTATTTTTTTAATAAGTATATGGTGTGATTAAATAAAGATGTATATAATGCAATCTTGATTTGGTTTTGTAGACAGGAGTTGCACTTGGGGTTGAGTTAGAAGATAAGATGCCTCAACATGAGTATTATGAGTACTTTGGTCCTGATTATACTCTTCATGTTGCTCCAAGTAATATGGAAAATAAGAACTCTCGCCAGCTGTTAGATGAAATTCGCTCAAAGCTTCTAGATAATCTCTCTAAACTACAGCATGCGCCAAGTGTCCAGTTTCAAGAGCGCCCACCTGATACAGAATTCCCAGAGGTTTGTTATTTGTTACAAAAAATTCAATTTTTGAATTTGTATACGATCTAATCATGAGAAGCTAACAGCAAGTCAATTTTTCTTGTATTCAGGCAGATGAAGATCAAGAGGATGACGATCGAAGATCAGATGATTCTGATGTTGATGAAAATAACGAGGGGTAAAATTGTCTTTCCCCCAAACATTATAAAGAAAAAAAAAACAGTTTCTTCCTTAATTGTCAATTCTCCTCCCTGAATTCTGATATTCTTGTATTTGCATTTGTAGTAAGCCTTTCCTTGGACGTGTGAAAAGGGAACTCCATGATATTGAGTCCAAGGACATGGTATGTGCATAATAAATTAAAGACTGTAGTGTTTCTTTTTTGGACTTATGGTTTCATTTTGTATAAAATTCAGGATGATGTGAAAGAAGGTGAACGAGCTAATAGAGAGATGGATGCCTCATTTGCTGAAATATCCATAAAGGTTAGCAAACAAACACCTTTCTATTTTCATAAAAGAAAAAGGATGAGTATTTATGTAGTGTTTTTAAGTGTTTGTTTGTTTGTATTTTCAGGGTTCAAATTCAGTATCAGCACCTGCAGATGTGAAACAAGAACAAGGAAACTCAAACAAGCCGGATCAGCCTTCTACTGCTGAGATGAATTTATAGTGTATGATGATGTCAATGTCATGTTTTGACTTTAATTTTTATGAATCTATTTTAAATTTGTGTTGAGGATTGGTGTATTATGTTGTACAAAACTGACTGGAACATGTGCACAAGGTTGGTAAGTTAAAAAGATGAGTAGATGAAATTAAATGACAAATGTTTTATTATCATTTTTGGTATTGACTATCCTGATGAGGGTATGATTTACCTTTAAAATTATGACAAGATCACATGATTCGTTGTACGCTTGCAAAATGTATCATGTTCTCAAAAACACTATGCATGTGTTAGCCATTCTAAAAGAAATGTGCTTGTGCAAATAAGGATAAGTCCATATCCCTCCTCTTTTCTTGCCCAATACCACTTCTCAGCTAACTCTCCTTCCTCTTCATTGCCTATCTGGCATCGATTCCGACACACATGCATCGATTCCGAGCCCAAAACTCAATTTAGATTTTGTGTATTTTTTATCTCTACTTTTTCATTTCTTGTTTCTTATTTGAATACATTTGGAAAATCACATATGTTAATAAAGAAATAATCAAACCCAATTTCATAATCTACATGGGAGAAAAGAAAAGCTGAAACATTTTGTTCGTCAATGGTCAAAAAGGGGAAGGAGGAATAGGGAAGTTGTTCATCGCATGTTAGATAAAGCATTAGTACTAAATGATTTGCTTTTGGTTGCAGTTTTATGAAGAACATGGATAACATGGATCTGAAGGAAAAAAATATAAAATGTATTGGGGAACTTGTATGTTATGTATTTCATGGTTCTAGCTTCTTGCTAGAGTTGGTTTTTATTTATATCATACTAGTTAAATACATGTGCGTTATGCATGAAGAAATTTATATTGTGAAAAATATAGACATATATATATGATGGTTTTTATTTATATTATACTAATTGAACACCTGTGCGTTATGTATGAAGAAGTTTATATTGTGAAATATATATATATATATATATATATATATGATGGTTTTTATTTATATCATACTAGTTGAACACCTGTGTGTTATGTATGAAGAAGTTTATATTGTGAAATATATATATATATATATATATATATATATATATATATATATATATATATATATATATATATATATATATATATATATATATATATATATATGATGTTAAATATAATTAATATGATAAAAGGGATGTTTATTAGAAGACTTGACATTTAAGACTTATATTATAATATTTATATTTAATCGTATAATTTTGATTATCTTTGTTGTTTTATAAATTCCGATATACGAATCTCCACGAAATATCATTTCAAGTTTCACGTTCGTTTAAGATTCGACAGATTTTATGAATATGATTTTGGTTGAGATTGATAAATGTGATAAAAATGTAATAAAATAATAGATCATAGTCTGAGATAAAAAAAACGTGCTCAAAAGCGATTTACGAGGTTCGTAGCTATTCCAAATAAAGTAGAGCACGATTTGTTCCAGGAAAATCAGATAAATACTGATTTTATAATTTAAAATGAGCATAACTTCTTCATACTGTCACACCCCAAACCAGGATGGCGGAAACGTCCAGGGGCAGATGACGTCATGTACAGTATCATAACAATTGAATAATAGTAAAGAAAGCAACATAACCATCATAAATATAATTAGCAGAGTTACATCATTGTAAGTGTTATATATTTTAAAAATCAATTACAATATGATGACAAAAGATTTGTTTGACGCCTTAGCGTTATATCCTCAAAAGCTGATGGTTACATGTTTTACTAGATCCTTGAGAATACAAGTTGTTTTAAAAATATCAACAATTAAGTTGATGAGTTCATAAGCATTTTTGTATTAGAAATTTGTCGTTTGTTATTTGAAAATGTTAGTGTGTTCCTCTAGAAAATCAAATATTTTTCTGTTAAATGTAATATAATCTTAAATACCCCAAGACTGAAAATGTATAAATGTTGTTGTACTGTGAAATAGTATAATGTAGTTTTATTATTGAATAAAACTATATGAAAATGAATGTTTCCTCAGTAAGTTTTGCTATATTAGAAAATTGTGTACTGTAATTACATTTGTATTAAATCATTTGTATGTATGTACGTGAAACCACCAACTATATTGTAAAGGAGTGTAACTGTAGTTTTATTATTAAACTAAAACCATTGAAGTTATATATATCTCGTAAACCAAAATGTTTAGTTGTATTGTATCCTTGGAATAGAAAATTAGTATATATGACTCATAAACTATACATATTATAGTTTAAAGTGTATGTTTTCTTGAAATGAGAACCTTTGTATTTTAACAACTTTGTATATTTATGTTCTTGAATTTGAAATAAAGATGTTTTGTGTAATTTAACATTTTTGTATAAACGGTATTAAGATATTTGTGAAAATATCCTTTTGCTCAACACTTTACAAAAGGTTTGAGGCGGTCCTGCTTTGTGTTGTAGGCCAAGACACAACCTGAAATTATTCCGTCACCGTAACCCGTTTTCCGTTAGTAGAACTTGTTCTTATTAAACTTTTCCGTTAACATTAGGATCAAACAAATAAAAATTTGAACTTTTATTATGACTTCATAAGGGTCGGAATAAATTAGGAATGCGGGAAACACCCTAAATATCCTTTTAAGAAGTTTTAGTTACAAACAAGTTAAAATACGACCATTTAATCGGGTACGACCATAAACCCCGTTTAACGTCGGTATCGGGTAGAATTCCACCTGGCCACAAACTCAAACCCTATATATGGGTTGAGTGGTCACCAAGTTAGAACTTTTACCATTCTAGTCTCTCTCTTTACTCTCTCTCTTCAAGGCCCGATTCTTCTAAAAATCCACAAGTTTCAGCTTCCAAACTGTAAGTACTCTTACCCTGGATTGTTCTACAACTCATTACATGTCATTACAACTTGAAAATCATCCAAGAAGGTCAAGAGTAAGGAGTTTACGGCCCAAGAACACTCTAGGGCCGTAAACCCCTAAAAGTGTGCCAAAATGCCCCCAAATCTCTACCTTAGGCTTAGAGGCTAACTTAGAACATACCCTAGAAGTGTTTTAGACATTAAATCTTATGTTTAGAGGCTTAAAAGAGGGTTTACGGCCCAAGAACACCCTTAGGCCGTAAACTCCCTTAAACTTTGCAAATTGAGCCTTTAACCCCCTATTTAGCCTTGGACCTTCACATAGAAACTTGTAGGAGTAAGCTAAGGACCTCAAAAACGAAGTATAAGGGGTGTCCAAGAGTTCACGATCGTAAACCATGGGTTCACGACCGTAAACTCCCAAGGAGTGGTCCTAGGACCGCAAACTCCAAGGGAGTGTCCCTTTTGAACCCTAAACACCCCTCAAGCCTTGGAATTTGCCTTGGAACCCTTCCTAGAGACACAAGAGACTTGAAATGTAACACCGTAAATTTCAAAACAAATTTTCATTTAAATATAATGGTTTAATTCTTAAAAACACTTTTCTTAAAATCTCATTCATAATCAAATTACAAAACATAACTCCATTTTCACTTGCATAATAAACCAAGATCCTCAAAATATGACTCTTTCGCTGGTGTGTACAATCAAACCGGTGCCATCCCGTGATCCTGAGAGAAACCTGAAACACATAACACAAAACACTGTAAGCACGAAGCTTAGTGAGTTCCCCAAAATACCACATATAACACATATTAGCCACTCGAGGCTATAACTTTGTGGGTCCGTGCACCCAAACTCTGTGAACCCTCAGGTTCTAACTCTGGGAACCTTCCGGTTCTAACTCTGTAAATATGCACAACATAAATCACATAGAAATAATGCAGTACAACACATAACATATATAGCATACAAATACTCTATCACATAACTATGGTTACCTACTCAAGGTAAAGTATAGTGAGAAGACTCACCTTGCGTATCTCGGTAATTTGTAAATCCCTGAAATCACTAGTGCTCGATCTCCTGAGCTATAGTCCTCCTATAACACAATACATCTCTAATTAACACTTTCCCAACTAAGGTTGACTAACTCTATCGATTCCACACTGGTCAAATCTGGTCAATGGTCAATGGTCAACCCTAACTCGCCGAGTTTGGCGCGGATTAGCCGAGTTCCTACAAGGACCCCACTTCCTCTGAGTCCCTTCCGACTCACCGAGTCACTCACCCAACTCGGTTACTCAACCCCTGGTTCTAAATCTATGAACAACTCGCACCAAATCGTCGAGTTTGCTAATAGACTCGGCGAGTGCCTTCCATGCACAATCCCAAACGACCTTCTGAGGTCAGGTCTGTTCCACTAACTCATAGATCCAGTCCTTCCAAGCTTATTTATCACGTAAAGTCGCTATCTTGATGTACATACAACATCTATATGACCATATATGATGATGTAGCCCCAAATACCACAACTCAAGGTCATAACCTCCATTGCTCTTCATAAAGCTTGATGAGTGAGGCTCTCTGGACCTCTATGGATCCAGATCCAAAGCCTCATCACTAGAAAGGGACTATTTGGGCATCAAATCAACCCAACAAAGGCCACAAGAAATCCTAAATCCAACTATACTTCATAAAACATAAGATGAGCCGAATTAATACCTCAAGTGCGATGATCTAAGCTTCAAATCCACAGTATAGCAACCTCCTTTGCTTCCTCTTGGTTAGGACCTCCTTCTTCTTGCTAAACGACACCACAAAGGTCAAGAATGGCTTCCTTTCTCTCTCAAAACGCTCAAGCACTCTAGGGTTTCTCTCTATGGACTGGTGAGTACAAATGACGGCCATAAGGCCCTTTAAATAGGCCCCAAACCCGAGAAATTAGGGTTTCATTAAACAACGCTGACTTGCCGAGTCCACCAATGCGACTCATCGAGTCCGGTCATTAATCCAGATGAGAAATTGCGTCTCTACTCAGCGAGTCTACGCACCAACTCGCCGAATTCCTCTTCAAAACTCAAAATAAAAAGAATAAATATAATACCTGAAATTCCGGATGTTACAATTCTCCCCCACTTGAATTCGACTTCGCCCTCGAAGTCTCATCCCTGAAATAGCTCCGGATGCTGCACACGCATCTCACGCTTCGGTTCCCAAGTAAGCTCCGATCCTTTCCGATGCTGCCACTGGACCTGCACCAGAGGCACCTCCTTGTTCCTCAGAACCTTGATCTTCCGATCCAAAATCGCAACTGGTCTCTCCACGTAGTTCAAGCTCGAATCCGCCTGAATGTCCTGTAACGGCAC